TTATGATCGACCCCGGAAAGGTCGAACACTTGCTGGATTGAAGAACCCCCACTACAGGCAAAGACATTAACAGCATGTGCGGATTCATCAACTTCCTGTCAGATGGAGTTCCACACTTGGCAAGCTACCTTATGCCTTTCGGACATTTACGATGTCACAAGGCTAGATTGGGAGCGTTGTGGGTTAAAGAATGTGATGATGCCTTTAAGTAGCTCAAAACAGTGGTTCAGCGAGCTCCAGTAGTCCAGCCACCGAAACATGAGGCGTTCTGTATCGAATGATTGACGGAAAACCGAGATATGTGCAGCTCTTTAGCAGGGTTATGAACTCAGACGGTGCAATAAGAGCTGTTGGCTATTGTGACTGCACTCACTCATATTAAGGACTACCTACACGGTACAGATTTCAATGAACTGTGCGATCAGAAATTGGTGCAACATCTAAGGATATGAACCCCAACTCACAATTGATCAGTCGATGGCACGATACGATCGCAAATTTTCCATTTAGCATCACACATATACCGGCAATACATAATCACTTATCGGATATGCTGTCACGCTTTGTACCGTACTTCAACAAGATGGGCCGAGAGCTACTAGCTACGGATTGTATGGCCAATCCTAAATGGTTTAAGATTGCGACAACATATATAGTCCACATACCTTAGACATGTTTGCAGCACATCATAATGCGCAGCTGCCGCGATACCAAACTCTAAAACATCCAGACGGTGATGGGTTTCAAATCGACTTAACAGATGAGAACGCATGAGCGAATCCACCGTGGTTGTTGATAACACAGTTGCTAATTATGTACATATACAAGATGCTACCATCACGTTGTGTTGTCCCATAAGATATTCAGATAATGACTCCCACAGTTGATATCGATGGTACAATGTGAGCCCATATATGTGGATAGAGAGGTAGATTCTTTCCTCTACCAGGGTACCCGTGCAGTTCAGAAGACGCCTTGGCGACATATAATCATATGTCGAATAAGTCCAGTTGGAACATCCAAATGGACACAATTCGAGACCTTCAAGCGTGATGAAGAATCGAAGATTCCATTCTTAACATCTAAGTCTCAACGGGAGGCTAGGACGAAACACGCAACTGCAGTATGCGTCACCGAGCGAGGCACGGAAGTTAAAACTTATCCACCTACAGCTTTTATCCCGAGCTTTAATGCTCATCCTTCATATGTGCATAAGACACTGAAGCTTAAGAAACCAGTCGACCACCACGGACATACTGGACCTAAGCCCAAAACCCACACGGTAACCGAGAACGTTTAACTTCTTTGCCTGAGAAACATTAACTATATGTTATGATACTTAATGTTTTCGACCCGTTTTTCCTTTCTCGCTTTTTGACCCATAATCAGCTTGAGTGAGCAACTTGCTTCTCATGGGTCTCAAAGCTGGGTGCGGGCTGTGTAATAGCCGGGCCTCCACATTAGACTCTGTTATAAACGTACTCTTAAGCAGTACGTAAATTATAAACGTACTCTTAATAGTACGAGGAACTTAAGTTTCCTACATGGGTTTTAGTGGTTTTATTAATTATTACCTTTTCCATTTTTTTACATATCAGATATTTGGACGAGGCCATTAATAGGCCTCAGTAAAATACTAAACATAAGAGTTGGTCTAGTTCTATTAATAGAACTATATTTACTTTCCAACTTTATGTGTATCTGAATACTTCGGTAGCGAGATGGCTCAACCGAATATAGGTTTCTAGGGACAATTAACGTTACCTAGTTGGTTGATCCTCCGATCAGCCTACAAGACGTGCCAGTCTGATGAAGGCTAAGTCAGTAATTCTTGATTGTGGCAAGCTATTGGTTAAGACAATAACTAAGGACATCAAGAGTATTTTTTTATACTTTTTTCTAGAGATAGGATTTTATGAGTCTCTCGGATTCGCCCTAATGAAACATACCATAGTTTCTAATAGAGCGACAACGAAACACATAAAGTTCCTTCGGCGGAAACAGTATATAGGCAATGTCTCAGCCTCACAATCCTTCAGAGTATTGCTAATTTCACGAGGCATACCTAACTTTACTAAACGTCTCATTTCATTTATTTACTTTGATATTTTCACGATACTTAGAATTTACCTACGCATTTATTTACTCTAAGGCATCAATATCGCCTTAATAGACCGAATCTTACAGTAGTAAGTTTACCTCAGCCCCACTGTCTAATATGGCCGATACTGTACGACCGTCAATTAACAACTCTTCTCGCCAGAGTCTTTTACTATCTCCTAGCCGTCGTACGATTAGCCCGTCCCGTTATGCGTGCTTGCATACAGTTGCCATGTGAATTTTCTTACCACACTTTTAGGCACTCTCCGTCAAACTAACAGTCCTTTGCAAAATGGCCAGCCCTCCCACACATGTTGCACTTGTCTTTGCTGCTATTCCCATCTGTGCCCTGACTCGATTCCTCTGCCTTGTCACGTGCACCAGATGACTTCTGAATAATCGAAGCTACAATGTCTGCAATTTTCATTGCCTCTACTAAGCCGTCTTCATTAGTTAACTTCAAGCGTACCTCCATCTTCAACTGGTCGTCATGTCCCTTGATGGATATAGCTACATCCTCGTTTTCTTGCATGTTCGGTACATCAAGCAAAAGCTCTTGAAACTTATCTGTGTAAGCTTGCACAGCGCCGGTCTTCCTAATCGCCATCAACTTTTCTATACACTCAGTCTGCCAGTTTGGTGGCAAGACCATGTCTTGTATCTACTGGCTGAGATCGGCCCACTGCGCTATGTTGCCTTGGTTCTTCCTGAACCACGCCAGAGCACGACCACTCAAGAATGTGCTCGCATACTTGATTTTTATTTGCTCTGGTGCCTCATGTCCAAGATTTACTCCTTCCGCGGCAAACATCTACTCCATACGATAAAACCATTCCCGCACTGTAGATACATCTGCCTTGCCTCCATAGATATCAGGTTTATTGAGCTTCAATGTGGACCTCCCGACTGCAGGGTTCGCTGTATCTGTTGATGTAGCTCAGCAATCTGTTGTTGATATTGTGCCATTGTGACACCTCCACTTGTTGCTGTAAGTTAGCAACTTGTTGTTGATATTGAGACAGGCCGGCCAAATTCTCCCTAATTTGTACCAACTCGGCCTCCATGTTATGGGCCTACACCTGCTCAGCCGATTGGGCCGGCTGGTTTGGCGTTCTGTGTCCCTGGCAAGGACGAAGAGGACTAGAGACTGTTTATATTGTAAACCTAAGAATCCTCTTCGTCCTTGTGTTCCTTATGTCCTTAGTGAAAGTCTTAATTCTAACGCTGGACGTGGACTGCATTTATAGTCCGCCAGTACCTATCTCTATCTATTCCCGAACGAACTTGTACTACTAACATTCTAGGCTATTAACTATAACTATAACACTCGTAGTGAGAGGGCAAGGCACGGACCTAGAAAACCCTCTGCTACGATGTTCTCGAACTTTCTCATGGCGTTATCGTCTATGTATATTCGTAGACACTTTGCTCTGTTCGTGAATATGCATAGACAATTTTAGTATGACCCATGTAGAATGACACTCAAAAACCATCAGGGCCTGGTTATATACGATTAACCCTGGCTTGGGCCCTGAAATAAAATCCCAATTGAATTTCCGGAATCATGACTCATCATTTGGGACCCGCCAAAATTCAGGGTACCGAAGAGTCTCGGACATTCATTAGGAGTCCCGAAACTCTTACAAAATCCAAAAAACAAAAAAAAGCATACATACAAACCTAGAAACCAACCACAGCCAGTCCACACACCACAGGCCCACAGCCCTATCTGTCTTATTAGGTCTCTTGGCCCTCTCATATCTGAGATTACTCTGAGTCTAGACATTGGAGGCTGAGCAAGTCGGGTCAAACAGCATTTTAGTCAAAGCCAATATCAAGATTCAAGAAGACAATTGGCTGTTCGCCAGAAATGAGAATTGCCTTTTGACCGCAAGTCCGCAACATCTCTCATCACATGTGCACCAAGTCAACCAACAACAAGTTTTTTCTCGTTGTTTTTGTCTTTTTTTTTTCGGGAGGTGTTTGCATTACACTTGTGTTTTTTTATTTTATTTGCTTTTTGTTTTAACAAAATAAAATAAAATATATAATATATAATCTAATTCTTAAATTTTTGTTAGATCTAACATTTCACAAGAACTCAAAAAAAACAAACTAAACACATTCAACTACTTATAAGAAGTCGTTGCATTGTTCAAAATATTCCCTGCTCCAAATTTGTTAAAAAATAAAAATAGAAATAACAACCTATTACCCAGTTGCCCAATCTGACAATCTCCCAGAGTAGCCAGTCAACCCGACTCCTACTCTTTCTCTAGAGAGAGAGAGAGAGAGAGACTCGAATTTTAGAAATGAAAAGATTATATTGGCAATAAAATATTCCAATCACGATTCTTAAATTGTGATTTCTATTGAATAACACGCTCTAGGGTTTCATTCGGGGAATTGTTAGACATATCACATAGGTCATAGACTTATAGGGCCACCAGCACACCACTCCCAGCCAGGCGGCCCATATCGGCATTCTCCCAGGCGGCCATGTTATGCCCACAAGAAGAGAAGCCCTACTCCCTCTCTCTCTCGCTACTAGCTCTCTCTCTAGAGCTAGAAGAGAGAGAGCTAGAAGGCGCCTGTTTGCCTTCAGAGGAGGTCTATAAGCAGGGCAGCTAAGGCCTCTGCTCAAGTGCTATCTATATTTTTAAAGAACATTAAAAAATAACTCAACTCAAAATAAAAGTCTGAGACTCTCACACAGTAGTCAGTAGTCAGTAAATAGTCAGCAGTCAGTACTCACTACAGTGGGTCCTCGCAACTTGTCGACCTTTTAGTTGTCGAGTTCGACAGATGTCAACTTTTCATCGCGTGGGGCCCGCGGGGTACACATTTCTTTCGAGTATGTTTGTACTTCATTTCCTTCCTGGTACAATTTGTACCAGGAAGAAAACGAAGTACATATTTACCCGAAAGAAATGTCCAGAGGCGATATAAGCAGACATATATCGTCGAGTATAGGAGCATCATACTTTAATTCCAAGGATGTCTGATAGGTGTGGACACTGGAGAGACCTGTTTGGCTAGTTTGACCCAGCTTTGGTACAAACTGTTTTCTGTAACTATTTAAAAAAATATATACATCTGGTTCAACATCTATTTATAGTAAAATCCCCCCCGGACGTGAACAGATTTTCACTAATTACACACTATTGTTAAATTTTTAAAAAACAAAAACAAATATTAGTTAGCGTAGCTGGCGTACAGAAGTGATTTTATAGAAAACATAATATAAAAAGTCTAAGTAGTAGTTTGGTAGTTCCCCAAAAGTTGTGTGAGGGCTGAGCAGACTGAGCCCCCAGTCCCTGACTCACCTGATTGCCGAGGGCCCGAGGCTGACGGAAGTGTAAGGCTTGCCTTTCAAGCTGTCACAACACAAAGTATGTAATAAATAAACTGAAAATGAATTTGCTTTTAAAAGCAAATAAAACAAAAAATACTTTGTATGTACTGTATTTATTTACAAATGGCTTTACCAGAATCTCCAGCCTCCCCGCCCCCGGAGTCCCCGCCTGTTCCTTTGTTTGATTCTTTTTTAAAAACAAATAAAGAAGAAAGAACGATCTGTACCTTTTTTTTTCTAGAAGGAGAGAAAAACTCTCTCTCGAGTCCCGACTCTTGACACCAGAGCTACCATGTCATTATTATGTATCGATCTGTACGTTTTCTTATTGCATTTAGTAACAGCACATAATTATTTTATAATTATTAAGAATGTGAACCCAATTTCTATTAATACTTCACCCCAAATTGGCAGAATCCAAAACTTAATACCAATTTTTTTTTCCTCGTGTGATTATTAATTAAGAATAAGAGTATTTATGTCAAAAGCGATGGTTCTTAATGATAAATTCCTAATGCATACTTCTTATTTCTTAATTAAGCCAGTTTTCTGTTTCAATTTGATTTCTAAATAATGGTCGACATATTTCAAGAAAGATAGCTTTCATATTTCTTAAACATTTATTATTTGGCGCCCAATCACATGGAGATAATGTATATATTCATATATTCGTATATTTACATACTACAGTATACAGACCTACAACTTTAACAGACCACAACTTTAAAGCTTTGCTCGGTATAGATCAATAACCATCCACAACGAAAAAGTAGGACAAATAATCTTTTTCCAAAGTGGAGACCATATACGCCAGAAATGCTCAATATTCTCAACAATCGTCCAAAGTTATGGCAGGCCATATTGCGATATCCCCCTATTGACAGGAATTACGATCCAAGTCTGATGTATACATTTATGAGTCAATCTGTCGGACTATTATGTACGGATGATAATATAGTCAGTCTACCCAAAGACTACTACGTTGCTGTAGATATGTATAAAGGTAATCGGCGATACCATGTAGCTGATTGCTTCGACTACGTGTATAGGATCTGTGTCTCGAGACGCCTTTACGGATATAAATGAATGAACATCTACAGATTGGAGATGCAGCATGTATATTGCTCTATGTATCCGCTTACGACGACAATGACAAAATAAAGTGGCAGTGATAGGTTTGATTAATCAAGGTACAATCATTTCTGTCGTCAGAAATGATGCTCTACATCAAAATGCAACATCCGACATCAATGACCCTATCGATGAAACTATGTAAATTTAGAAACAAAATAATAAAGTAAACGCATATATATATATATATATATATATATATGTAGTAGTACGTACGACCGAACGGACACACGAGGAGTAG